AACCCCATCAAGAAAGTAATTGAGATTATCTCCAATACCCTTTATATTCCCTAGTAATAGTATTATTTACCCTCTGACTAACTAAGCATTTAAGCAAAGAAAAATAAATATGGTAGACATCAATTTAGGCATCAAATCCGCGGTTAAAGACTGATTAAATAACCGCTATGAAAACTGAATAAAACAACCCATCGAAAAAAGAACCCAAGAATTAGAAAGTTTTATTGCTCAACAAGTTCAAAAAGCAACTACTCAGGGGCAAAAATACAATCCGGTTAACCAGTATCAAAATCAACCCACTTTTTATCGAGGTTTATTTTGAATTGCACTGGGATTGTTAATTATTTTATGAATTATCAGCGGATAAGAAAAATATGGCAAATAAAGATTTAATAATAATTGTGCTAATAGTAGTAATCATTTACCTCTATTATCAGCAAGAAAATAACCAATCACCCCTGATTGTCGAAACTCCTAACACGCAAAAATTACGAGCCGAACTAAATCATTACCAAAAACTTTATGAAAATAGAGTAAAAAAAGATTTAGGTTTTGAAAATAAAGATGCAGAAACTCAGACCGAGGATGATCAATTAGTAATTCAACATCAGGAACAGTTGAGAAAGATTAATGTCCTTTTTGATGACCAAGCCCAAGATTATAGTTTTATTGATTTTAATGGTCTTTATTCTCTCCTATCCTCCATAGCAGAGAGAGAGAGAGAAAGAGAGAGCAAAAGTAGTGATGGATACCAAACTGCCGAAGAATAATGATGAAATTAAGCCTATTTTTAGCCGATATCGCAAGAAAAAATAAAGATGGAGTTTTTAACTTTGTTACTCCTTAAAGAAATAAAGAAGTGATAAAAAAATAAGTAATAAATGAAAAAGAAAAAAAGTTTAAATGCTACTTTGCAAAAAATAGTTACTGACTGTTATCAGCATGGTTGTGATCATTTAGGAATAATTTCTTACAAAAAGGTTGTCTTTCGTGGTTTTTACCATAAAAAACTGCTTCAAGAATTAATCGCTAATAAAGAAATCAAAAATAATCTGCAAATAACTAATGAAAAACTGTTTGCTAATTATGTTTATGATTTACCGGAAGAAACAGCCGGATCGACTTGACCGTTAAACAAAGAAAGCTGAATTACTCTTAATGTATCTTACGAAGATACTGATGATTTTTTGGAAACTCTTCTCCATGAAACTGCTCATGCTATTTATTTCAATGTTAACTTAGAAGAAGGTCACTCAACTAATCATAAAAGGCTTACTAAACGTTTGATCAGTTATTTTCATAAAAATTATAATAAGAAAGACTTAGAAAAATTACTAGAAAACTATCATGAGAACTAATATTAGCACCGAAGTCAATAAAAAACCAATTACTTTTTCTGAAATGGGAGAGTTTATTCAACTTTATAATCGCCTTGACAAACCTCAAAAAGAAAAATTGAGTAAGTATTGGGCTGAAATTACTCATGATTTGCCGATTACTCCCCAAAAAGTAGTTAATTTAAAGAAAAAAGATTATCAAGAAATACTAGAATATACTCGCTTGCTTTTGATTACTTACTGTAAAGGATAATTACTAATTATTCTCTTTTTCTTTTTTAGCATTCACTTTCGCTAAATAAAGCAACTTCCTGATTTTATTCTCTAACTGTTTTTTTTTTTTTTTTTTTTTTTTTTAGGAATACATTAAGGTAAGCCTTTCGAAGATGGTTTTTAACCATTTTTTCTTAATTTTTTCTTTACTTTTTTTAGGAATACATTAAGGTAAGCCTTTCGGAGGGTACTTTTAGATGGTTTTTAACCTTTTTTTCTTCATTTTTTCTTTACTTTCTTTAGGAATACATTAAGGTATGCTTTTCAAAAGTGATATTTTGGTGGGTTTCTAACTGTTTTCTTTATTTTTTCTTTACTTTTTTTAGGAATACATTAAGGTAAGCCTTTCGG